CTGCACCAGGTTCCTAACAGGCTCCCACAAAGGGAAGCTTTGGTCCTAGTCTCATCCAGTGGTGCCACAGGATTGCCTTCCTGCAAAAAGGGCATGGTGGCAGCATCTCCTGACCTCCTTTAACTTCACAAGGGGGATGAAGGATCCAGAACAACATCAACAACCCAAAGCTGATTCCTATGATGTGAAAGTCAAACACCATTCTTCAACCTTTCTACCAGTTTTGACACCAGCCATCCCCTCCCATAGCATTCTTTACTTCTCTGCTGGGTTGGATAATTCATTGCAGTGGCCACACAGAACTCACAGACAATACTTATGATTATGGGGTTTATTAGGGATGTAACAGGTTACAATTCAGGTTCAGGAATACTCAGGATACCATTATTCAATCAGGACAGCCTCTACTTGGCCATGCCACAGGCATGCCTCCCTTTGGCCCTCAGCCTCTCAGCCTGGTCTCTGTCCTGCTTGGGAAAATGTTACAAAGTTCTTTTATCTCTGCTGACAGGTGCACCCCACTCTGCAAGCAAGCCCCCTGCCTAAGGCATTCAGCTTTCTTGTTCTATGGGCCAGCAAGTCCACCGCTATGTCTCTTGCCAGTGTCTTGGTTCTGTTGTCTCCAATCTCTCTGCTCTCCCTCTGTTGGCTCTCTGCCAGCTCTCTGCCAAGGAGGTCCAGCATGGGGATGTTGGGTCCAAGGTAGAGTTCCACTCCTTGTTCTTCTTCTGTCTTGATGGTAGTAAGATCCCCCTTCCTGCCCCTGGGATGGCCCATTTTAAGGCTAGTGGAATGGCAAAACTGACCAATCCCCACATTTGGGTTCCATATATCTTATTTGCATGGTTCCACTTCCACAAGGGCACCATGTACCTTAATTTATATTATTAACAAGCTAGCCAATCCCCTTGGTGGGCCACAAGCACCTCCCATTTACATAGTTCCACACAGTCATCTGGTGGAATCACAAAGACCATAGCTAGAAGAGCCATATGAAGAAATTCACTGCACTGCACTTGCTCATCCAGGCTCACTGGGCCCATGGTCTTATTCCAGCTCTACTCTTTTTTTTTTTTTTTTAATTAGGATTTGGGTGAAGATTTACAGAGTAAATTCACTTTTCATACAGCAGTTCACATATACTTTGTCTCATGTCATTGACCAAAATTTACAATGCAGCAGCTCCCCTCCCACTTCCTCCCCATAGTTACCTCCTCCCAGTGTCCATCCCTTCATACTCTTCGAGAGGCCCATTTTCTGCCAACCTTGTATATGATCTTGGATACACTCTCCATTTAGACATACATAATTGTTTAGCTTGTTCACCCATCTATCCGTCCCTATACCCATATTTGCTTTCATTAACAACTCAGTATTGTATTTACAAAGGGGTTCATATTTGTTGTTTGTAATGCCCATGTAACTCTCTCTGTCTTTCTCATCCTCAATGCTGCCATATTGGTCACTCACATTTGGTACATTGCCCTTCTCTTCACCCAAATCAATATTTATCTCTATCTATCTAACAGCATTCCCTCCCCTTCCCTCCCACCCCTGGTAACCAACAAAGAAAATGTCCTCCAATATATAAACATTTCCTTAACTTTTACAATAACGGACTAATACAATATTTGTCCTTTTGTGACTGACTTATTTCGCTCAGCATAATGTCCTCCAAATTCATCCACGTTATGCGGTGTTCTGCAGATTCTACATTATTCTTTAGCGTTGCATAGTATTCCATTGTGTGAATGTACCAAAGTTTGGTTATCCATTCCTCAGTTGTTGGACATCTAGGTTGTTTCCAAGTTTTGGCTATTGTAAATAGTGCTGCGATGAACATCGGCGTGCATATATCTGTTCTTGTTATGGCTCTCACTTCTTTAGGGTATATACCTAGTAATGGGATGGCTGGGTCAAATGGTATTTGTATCTCCAACTTTTGAAGGAATCGCCATACTGCTTTCCACAATGGTTGTACCATTTTACAGTCCCACCAGCAGTGTATGAGAGTCCCAATCTCTCCACAACCTCGCCAGCATTTGTTATTTTCTGTCTTGTTGAACTTTGCTACTAGTGCTGGAGCAAGATGGTATCTCATTGTTGTTTTGATTTGCATCTCTCTAATAGCTAATGATCGTGAGCATTTCTTCATATGTTTGTTGGCCGCTTGAATATCCTCCTTGGTGAAGTGTCTGTTCATGTCTTCTGCCCATTTTTTAATTGGATTGTTTGTCTTTTTGTTATTGAGGTGTTGGAGTGTTCTATAAATTCTAGAGATAAGTCCCTTGTCAGATATGTTATTACCAAATATTTTTTCCCAATCTACTACTCTTGACCCACTGTTCATCCCTGGGCAACTGACTTTCTCTCTGGCTGTTTCCTTATCTATAAAATGACAGACGTCACAGAGTCATTGTTTTGTTCTTGTTAGGTGCTATATAGTTGATTCTGATTCATAACGACTTGTATGCAACCGAATGAAACTGTTCAGTTCTGCAGCATCCTCACACTCCTTGCTATGTTTGAGTTCATCATTGCAGCCACTGTGTCGATCCCTCTGGTTGAGGGTCTTCTCCTCATCACTGACCCTCTACTTTACCTGGCATGATATCTTTCCCCAGGGTCTGGTCCCTTCTGACATGACCGAAGCAGGTGAGACGAAGCCTGATCATTCTTGCTTCTAAGGAGCATTCTGGCTATACTTCTTCCAAGACAGATGTGTTCATTTTTCTGACAGTCCGTGGTATTTTCAGTATTTGCCTACACCCACAATTCAAATGCATCAGTTCTTCTATGTTCTTCCTTATTCATTTTCCAGCTTTCACATGCATACAAGGTGACTGAAAATACCATGGCTTGGGTCGGGAGCACCACAATCATCCAAACCAAACTCACTGTCATTGAGTTGATTCAACTCATAGTGACCCCTCCTTGGGTTTCCAAGGCGGTATCTCTATGGAAGTAGATTGCCCAATCTTCCTTCTGAGGAGTGGCTGGTGGGTTTGAACCACCAGCTTTTTGATTAGCAGTCAAATGCCTTAGGCACTATGCCACCAGAACTCCCACCACAGTCATAGGAGATAAAAATTCCAATGCTGCCTTGTAAAGCATACAGTGCTGAGTTTTGAAGATCACTTGTCATCTTCTCAATTGTTACCACTTAGTGAGCCCACACTCCCCTTCAGCCATCATGTTAAGGCTTTGTGTCCTTGATCACATATAATCCTATCAACAGCTGAAGTGTTGCTATTGCTCCAGTGCTACAGTGGAAGCAATGGAAGCTCAAGAGAGTGGAGAAACTTGTAGCAAGTGGGAAAAGTAGGATTTCAACCTAAGTCATGCAGTCCCTGAGCTCTGTAGGGCACTATCTCCCAACATGACTGTTGATGATCATTATGCAAAGGAATTAATCCACAACTTTCACCTTCATCCCATCCCACTCTCCACCTCCTGTGGCCTGCAGCTACTCTAAGGGATTCCAGAACTGGCCGGTCTGTGCTTCATTCTTGGGTTGGTCCTCGGGGTGATGTACAACAGGCAGGAGTGGTGAAGAAACACTTGCCTCCAAGGGGTACACTTGCCTCTCAGACCCCACTGGCCAACATTTATTTACACTTTATATGCATTATCTAATATTGGGGGACACAACAATAACTGCATTAGGTCAACACTATTCCCACACCCATGTTATAGACAAGAAAACTGGACAGGAAACTGACCTAGGACCACCCAGCCAATGAGTGATAGAACTAGGATTTGATCCAAGGCAATTTAACCTTAAAGTCTGTGTCTATAGCTGTGCTGTTATACTATTTCTAGTTGCATGAGGCTGTTACTGCCAGGGATATGTGTCTCACCAACTCTCATGCAGGCGTTCCTGCACTCACGCCTGGTGGCGAAGTTGTTAGCATTCCCTCCGCAGCCTTTATATATAAAGGTTTTGCACCCACGGACCTTATCGCTGTAAAACCAGCGTTTTATTTTGTCCTGGCAGTCTCCTTCTTCAAGCGGCAGATGGCAGGGTTCTGAGGATCAGAAGCAGAGAGGGAAAAACACAATAGAGGGTAAGGATAAAGGGAGGGAGTCAGTTCATCAGCTTTTGCTGTAGTTCATGGTGTTATCACCTGTTGTAGTTAAGGTTACACTTGAACCCTGCATGTAGCCGAGTCGTTGTTCAGCAGCCTGCCATGCTCTGCCAACCTTGGGACTTTAAATGGACGAATTAATGGCCTGTCCTGTGGTTTGGTAACATTGGGACTGTGCCTTTTTACTTGTGAACCTTGGGCTTGTTAGCCTCAGCAGCCAGCAGCTGTCTGAGTGAAGAAAAGGGGAGTGGGCCGGAAGCTGGAGGCAGAGCTGAAGCCAAGGTTGAGGGGCTTTCACCCAGCCCTTAGAGCCTGGTACTTTAAATTCAGACTTAAAGCCTCCAAACTAAGAGAATAAACTCCTGTTTGTTAAAGCCATCCCATGTGTGGCATATTCTTGTCAGAGTGGTACTAGGTAACCAAAACACCACCCAAATCATAGAAAGAGCCACAGACAAAAAGTGCATAGGTTTTAGTCCTAGCTCTGCTACTAATATGCTGTGTTGTATAGTATCTCTGCTCTGTCTTGCAAAGGATATGAGGAGAAGATGGAAAAACTTTGGAGTTGATCTTTCTCCAGTGGCCTGAGCTTTGGGAGGGCAAGACTTGTTCAGCAACTGTATTCAAAGTGCCTAACACAGAGCCTGGTATATAGAAGGAATTAAATACTGAGGGGGGGGAGTACCCCCTTTGTGTCTGGAAACTGGCCCAATACTTACAGCTAAGCCATGTTATTCTCCTGTTGGACATAAACAATTTCACAAGACATGCATGTCAAAGCAAGTCACTGTAACACCATGATAAAGTGAGACAAAACAAGATCACTATGAAACCCACAAAATTTGCAAAAGTTCCTTTCTCTTGACTAGTATGACTGATGCTTCTGTACCAATCTAAGATGCTGCTACCTACCTCTGTATGGATCCAAGCACTTCTTCCCACAGTTGAAATTGCAGCACTTCAGGTAATTGGGGCAGTCAAAATCCGTGTGGCAAGAAGAAGTAAAAGAAGTACAGTGGATCCTCTCTTTGGGACATGTACCTGGTTTCTCTGCAAGAAAGAAGTCTCTAAACACATTCCTAGAGTTTTAGCTCTTCTCCACCCATGGCAAAGGTGGGTAGTGAAATTCTCCCAGCCCTAACCCTTACCTTCAACCCTCAGTTCTCACTCTGCTTGCATTTAGGGAGCAAGTCTACCACTCACTACTCCTGGTGCATTTAGATGGGCCTGAATCAGGAATTTGTGCCCAGGAAGAACTGAAGGAGCAGCATCTTAGATTTCATGGCTAGGGCTTAAGTAGGGGCCCTTGCCTTAAAATCTGAAGCTCCCATCTCCTCTTAAAAACTAATCTGTTGATGCCTAATCCCTCTACTCCAGTTTCTTAGTCAGTAAGGGAAATTAGTGAGGAATGATGGAAACATCATGGAAGCAGGAGTCAGGAAGACTGGCTTTGGGCTCCCTATGAACTCAAGACCAATCTGAGTTTGACTATATAACCTCTAAGTTTTTTATGAGAAGGGAAGTAGTGGTTGAGTGAGAGTCGACAGATCTGGCTTGAGAGCCTGGCTCAAACACTAACTAGCTACATGATGTTGACAAAGTGCCTTCCTTTGTCTGAGTTATAAGTTGCCCATCTGTAAAATGGGGATGACAATCCCTGCCTTACAGGCTGTTCATAAGACTAAAGTGGGTGATATCCCTAAAGCATTTATCACAGTACCCAGTACATGATACGAGCTTGGCAAGAATGGGTTTTGTTTCTTCCCTTTTTGACAAGACATGGCTCCTGTTTTCAGTGTTTGTGATAGACAGAATTTTAGAAATGCAGCCCCCCCCCAAGATTTCTGTTCCTTGATTATTAAATGAAATACTAATATAGGTGTTTTTGTTACGTCTCATGCCACTCTAACAGACATATACCATAAATGGGATTGATTGAACAAATAGGAGTTTATTCTCTTACAATTTAGGAGGCTAAAAGTCCGAGTTCAAAATGCAGGTTCTAGAGGCTGAGTGTAAGTCCCTCAACCTTGGGCTTCAGCTCTGCCTTTTGCTCCTGGACCACTGAAACTGGAGGCTTTTTCACTCAGGCAGTTGCTGGCTGCCGAGGCTGACAAACCCAAGGTTGACAAGTAAAAAGGCACAGTCCTGATGTTACCAAACCACACAGCAGGCCATTGATTCAAATCCATTAAAAGCCTCATGATTGGCAGACAACACGGCAGGCTGCTGAGTAACAACTTGGCTACATTCAGGATTCAAGTGTGCCAAAAGCTGCAGACCATTCCCAAAGCTTCTCCTTATAAACAAAAGCAGACCACATCCCTAAAGCAGCTACTCAGCTGCTCGTGGCAGACTCCCCCATGGAGTAGATCACCAGTCTCACCACGGGGAATGACTATATCCAGCTGCCCAGTCACTCAAAACCAGGCCCAGCCAAGTTGACACAAAACCTTAACTACTGCAAAAGGTAATACTGTGAAGGGATTTTGCACATATAATTAAGATGTAAGTCTTCAGTTAGTTGACCTTAAGATATAGAGATTATCCCAATCAGTTGAGGTTTAAAAGCAGGGTCTTTTTTTTTTTTTTTTTTTGCCTGTTGGTAACACATGGGGTTGCCATGAGTTAGAATTGACTTGAGGGCAATGGGTTTGGGCTTTTTTTTTTTTTTTTAATAGAAGAAGTAAGAGAGATTCAAAGCACACACAATAAGGATCCAACACGTCATTGGTAGTTTTGCAGATGGAGGGAGCCACATGACAGGAATGCAGGTGGCTCCTAGAACCTGACAGTGGGCCCCACCTGACAGCCAGTATGGAACTGGGGACCTCTGTCCTACACTGACAAGGAAATAAATTCTGCTAACAACCACTGAGCTTGGAAGAGGACCCTGATGAGAACAGTGCTGGCTGACATATTGATTTCAGGCCAACGAGATCTTGAACAGAGAACCTAGCCACCCCATGTCAGACTTCTAGCCTATAGATAATTTGTTATGGAGCACTTGATAACTGCAATGCTAAATGATGCTCCATGCTCTAATCTGAGTCTCTGTCCAGTGGAACCTGACTAGAAAGGCATGATCCTTTTTGATGGTATTGAATCTTAGAATTAAGGAACTTTAGAATTGGAAGGACCGTAGTTATGATTAACACCAACCTCCTAATGTCATAAACAACAACAACAAAAACCTTACTTCCATGGAGTCGTTTCCGACTGATGTTGTTGTTGTTAGGTGCCGTCGAGTCATTTCTGACTTATAGTGACCCCATGCACAGCAGAATGAAACACTGCCCAATCCCACGCCAGCTACATGATCCCTGCTATGCTTGACCCCATCATCACAGCCATTGTGTCAATTCATCTTGTTGAAGGCCTCCCGCTCTTTCGTCGACCTTCCACCCTACCAAGCATGACATCCTTCTCCAAGGAATGGTTGCTTCTGACAACATGACCAAAATAGGTGAGATGAAGTCTGGCCGTTCTTGCTTCCAAGGAGCATTTCAGGTGCACTTCCTCCAGGACAGATCTGTTAGTTCTTTTAGCAGTCCATGGTACTTTCAGCATTCTTCGCCAGCACCACAGCTCAAAAGCATCAA